TTAACCATCGATGGGAAGGCATGACCGTTGGGAGTCATTTAAGGCTGATTCTTTCCTTATTTGAAAGTCAACCTCCCACCCAGCGATGGGAAGCATTTACCCATCGATGGGTAGGTAACCGTTGGCTTCAAAACTGAAGGAAAATTGGCTTACCAGCGATGGGTAAGTTCCAAACATCGATGGGAAGCCAATATTCTGCAGACCCCAAATTTACTCAATCCCATAAATCAAGCCAATCACCCCTTTAATGCATTGGTCCGTTGGAGCCTATTTTGGCACTATAAAAAGGGGTGTTTGGGTCTGCTTTTCTCATCAATTCACTTCACTTTATTCATATTATCCTTGCATCCAAACAACATTATTTTCCATAGCTTTCTAGAGCCAATTTGTGAAGTTTGAGTTGTTCTTGAGCGTATATAGTTTACTCAACATCTACTCTAAAAGAGAGTCTTGTTCTTGAGTGTCTTAGTGTTGTATACACGTTAAGGGAAGCTTGTTTCCCTTGGTGTTACGAAGGAAAGGTATTTTCCTTCGGGTTGAAGTCTTGGAGTGCGGTATCTCCGAGCAAGTGTTGTTGAGGCTCGTGGGACTCGAGTTCTCAGGTTGTAACGGTTTGTTAAGCACCCGTAAGCTTAACGGAAGTAGTGTAGCTCGAGAGAGTCTCTCGGGAGGCTAGATTAGCCACAAGTTGTGGTGAACCAGGGTAAAATTCGGTGTGCCTCTTACTCTTCTCTTTACCTCTCTTTTAAGTTTTTTTATTCCTGCGATTTCTACGATCAAACGCTATTCACCCCCCCTCTAGCGTTGGTCACTTATTCTAACAGTGTGGACAGGCCGGGCATTTCCGAAAGGATTGTCCGAAGAATCCGGGTGAGGCATTTCCGTCCGCACCGGCCGCTTCAGCCCCAGCAGCACAACCCGCCCAGAGCCAGAAGTCGGCGGCAGCATCCAGTTAGCCCAAGCGGCAAGCATCAGGCGCTCAAGGGGGGAAGGCCCCAGCCCGCACTTACACGATGCGAGGGCGTAGTGAGCAGCCAGCCCATGACGTCATCATGAGTATGTTTACCTTATTCAATACATCTATTACAGCCTTGATTGATCCGGGTTCCACTTTATCATATGTTTGTATGCTTATGCCTGTTATGCCTAACATTCCTAGGGAAGACTTAGACAACCCGGTAATAGTGTCCAACCCATTGGGACACAGTCTATGACTCACCCATGTGTATCACGATTGCTCATTAGTGGTCCAGGGTAGGATCTTCCCTGCGAGTCTCATTGAGCTTCCACATCGTGAGTTTGACGTTATTCTAGGCATGGATTGGCTCACTGCCAACCAAGCCGTTGTTGACTGTGGAGCTCATACTGTTCGACTGAGAGCCGAAGACGGTAGTGACGTACTGATCCATGGTGAGCTTCTTCCGAAAGCTCCAGAATTCATTTCATACATTCATGCTCGTCAACTCATTCGCAAGAAGTGTGAAGCATTCTTGTGCACAGTGTGTGACACTCGTCAGGAGGCACCTAGTAGGGGGACATCCCTACGGTATATGACTTTCCTGATGTATTTCCAGATGACTTACCTGGTCTACCACCCCCTAGGGAGGTAGAGTTTTCCATTGATCTTGTTCCAGGAACAGGACCGATCTCGATCACACCTTATCGCATGGCGCCAGCGGAGATGAAGGAGCTGAAGGCTCAACTGCAGGAGTTGCTGGATAAGGGCTTCATCCGACCCAGTGTGTCCCCTTGGGGAGCACCGATTCTGTTCGTTCGCAAGAAGGACGAATCGATGCGGTTGTGCATCGATTATCGTTAGTTAAACAAAGTCACCATCAAGAATCGCTATCCGTTACCCCGCATTGACGATTTGTTTGACCAGCAGAGAGGAGCCACGGTCTTCTCTAAGATCGATCTCCGATCAGGGTACCATCAGATTCCCGTCAAAAAGGAAGACATTCCTAAGATGGCTTTCCGCACGAGATACGGTCATTACGAGTTCACAGTCATTCCCTTTGGATTGACTAACGCACCAGCAGTGTTCATGGATCTGATGAACAGCGTGTTCCGTAAGCATCTTGATCAGTTTGTTGTGGTCTTCATCGACGACATCTTGGTGTACTCCAAGACACAGGAGGAGCAAGCTCAGCACGTACGCATTGTCCTAAGCATTCTTCGAGAGCAGCGGCTTTACGCTAAGCTGTCCAAGTGCGAGTTCTGGCTGCACGAGGTTACTTTCCTCAGCCATGTCATCTCGGCTAAGGGTGTGAAGGTAGAGCCGTGTAAGATAGTAGCGATCACGGAGTGGAAGACTCCGCGCAATGCACGTGAGGTGAGGAGTTTTCTCGGACTGGCGGGTTACTATCATCGGTTCGTGAAGGACTTCTCCAGGATAGCGTCACCATTGCACAAGCTGATGAGGAAGGACTTCAAGTTCGTTTGGACTGACGCCTGTTAGCAGAGTTTCGAGCAGCTGAAGGAGTGTCTGACCCAGGCACCAGTTCTAGTCCAGCCCACTCCAGGAGTGGAGTACACGGTTTTCAGTGATGCGTCCCATAACGGCTTGGGGTGTGTTCTCATGCAGGAGGGCAAGGTCGTTGCGTATGCATCGCGGTAGTTGAAGCCGCACGAGTGTAATTATCCGACACACGACCTAGAGCTAGTAGCTATTGTACTCGCCTTAAAAATCTGGAGGCATTATCTCTACGGTGAGACGACGCGGATCTTCACCGATCATAAGAGTCTTCAATACTTGTTGACGCAGAAGGATCTGAATCTACGACACAGGAGGTGGTTAGAGTTGATTAAGGACTACGACTGTCACATCGCTTACCACCCAGGTAAGGCGAATGTGGTAGCCGATGCCCTTAGTCGTAAGACTATAGCTGTGCTACACGTTCAGCCTACATTACAGCAGTAGATAGCCTCAGCCCAGAGCAGTGATGATTTTTGTATCTAGACCGTTGAGCTCGTCTCTCGAGGAGAGAAGCCGGATTTTGCAGTTCGGAATGGTATCTTGTACTATCGGGAGCGTATGGTTGTGCCAGCGGGGGAGGTGAGAGAACGCCTGTATACCATGCACCCGGGCAGTAACAAGATGTTTCAGGACCTTAGGAGACATTACTGGTGGCCTGCGATGAAGCGGGAGCTCACGGAATTCACGTCGCGATGTTTGACTTGTCAGCAGGTCAAGGCCGAGCACCAGGTTCCTTCAGGTTTGCTTCAGCAGATCACCATTCCCGAGTGGAGGTGGGATCGCATTACGATGGATTTCGTCGTGGGACTGCCATTGTCACCACGTAAGCACGACACAGTTTGGGTCATCGTTGATCTGTTGACCAAATTAGCACATTTTCTCCCCATTCGTCATGACTTCTCACTTCAGCGGTCAGCGGAGTTGTACATCCGCGAGATCATCAGGATACATGGAGTTCCATCATCTATCATTTTGGATCGTGACCCTCGATTCACGTCGCAGTTTTGGAAGAGCCTACAAAGGGCATTGGGCTCCGATCTCCACTTTAGTACGACGTTCCACCCTCAGACAGACGGTCAGTCGAAAAGGGTGATTCAGATTTTCGAGGATATGATGCGTGCGTGTGCAATCGACTTCGGGGACGGTTGGGAGCAATACCTGCAACTCATGGAGTTTGGATACAACAACAGTCACCAGGCTAGCATTGGTATGGCACTGTACGAGGCTCTGTACGGTAGACCCTGTCGCACACCTACCTGCTGGACAGAGCTCAGCGAGAGGAGGTTGGAAGGGCCAGATTTGGTTTGTGAGACCGAGGAGAAGGTCCAGGTGATTAAGGACCGACTTAAGGCGGCTTCGGACCGACAGAAGTCCTACGCTGACCTTAAGAGGCGTGACATCGAGTATACAGTCGGAGATAAGGTCTTCCTGAAGGTGTCACCTTGGAAGAAGGTCCTACGTTTCGGCAAGAAGGGGAAATTGAGTCCGAGGTTCATAGGCCCGTACCCAGTCACTGAACGGGTGGGACCTGTAGCTTACAGCTCGAGTTATCATCGGAGTTGAGCAAGATCCACCATGGGTTCCACGTGTCCATGCTCCGGAGGTATCGGTCGGACCCTTCTCATGTGATACCAGCTGATACGGTCACACTTGATGAGAATCTCACGTATGAGGAGCCGGTTGAGATTCTGGCTCGCGAAGTCCGTCAGTTGAGAAACAAAACCATTCCGCTGATCAAGGTCTTGTGGAGAAGTCACACTGTTGAGGAGGCAACATGGGAAACCGAGGAAGTTCTTTATCCATTCCGCTGGTCAAGTTATGTGAGGAAGTTCTTTATCCAAACACCTTTCGCTGCTTCAGAAGCTGCCATGTACTCTACTTCTATAGTAGAATCTGCGGTAGTGTCTTGCTTATAGCTCTTCTAACATACCACTCCATCGTTTAGAAAATAAACATAGCTTTCCTGTGACTTATAGTCATCCCTGTCTGTTTGGGAGCTTGCATCAGTGTAACCAGTTACTCTGAGCTCTTCCTGTTCGCCATAGACTAAGAAGGCATGTAACGCCCTGCAACCCGGTCTAATAGAATTGATTGTTTTAAATAATTAATTACTGTTCCGGACCGGAGTTGGGGAAAATGAAAAGTTCTTAGAAAAATTATTTGATCATATCATTAAATTCGTCTTGACTGTCTGATTTCAGAAACGCAAACGGATTTCAATTCGGACCCGTTCGGGGGGGAAAACGCGTACCGTTCAGGTCAGATTTTACATAACGGAGTAGAATAAAGTTTGTAACACCCAATTACTTCCATGCGCCACCCTTAACCCATTCATTACCATCACCATTATTTCATAATCATTTCTCTACAATTAAAAACCCCATCTCTCCCTTCATTTGTCTTTCAACTTTGTAACTCCCAAGAAGCACTATCACTCTCTCTTCCTCTCCCCTTCATTCGGCCAGGCCAGCAACAAGGAGGACCTCCGGCGAAGCTCCAGTGGGTGCAAGGTTGAAGGAGAAGAAGGGCTAGGCCGTTCGTGCGAAGCGTAGTCGTCGTTTGTCCATTTGTTAGCACCATTCGTTCATCTCGTTCCATCAACCCCTTCATTTAGAGGTGAGTAGTTGTCCCCTCTTATTCTAGAACATTTAGTTATAATCTATGTCGTTATATTCGTAGTAATATCGTACGCAACCTACGTAGAATCCATGCATGTTCGTAGGTTAGTCATCAAAATGTTCATTACGTAAACCTATAAATTCTGGCCTAGGAATTCCTAGAAATATATTCATAAATGTTATGTTATTGTTCTAAAACGAATCTAGGTGTTAAATTAGCAAATCGGACCAAAACAGAGCAAAGGACAGCGGACTGCCTCCGGGACGGTCGACCGCGCAACATTCTCAGGATCCTGGACCTTGACCGAGCAACAAATCAAACAAGGTGGCATCAGAAGAGACTCAAAAGGGCCAAACTTTATGACTCTCGAATCGGGAAGTTGAGAAAAAAGTGGGTGGGCGTCAAGCTACGGACGTTAAAGAAGCGCTTAACGGGAGGCAACCCGTCATTCAAATAACTAAAATAATTAAATAAATTCAATAGTTTTATTTGTTATTTTTTGTGCTTCTACTTGCCGCACCAGTTTTGGGGGCAAGATTTTATGTGTTTGTTTATGTGTGTGCAGATGCCTCATCGTCCTACTTAGCCTACTGTGGACCGTAATGAGGTCCACTTGACTCATGCTTCCTCTAGGATGAGGTTCGATGAGTGGGGACACTCACGGGTGTTACATGAGTCGGTGTGTCTGGCTCAGGACACACTGACGAACTATGGCTATGCAGAGGAGATGGAGGAGCTGCTTGAGGGGACCAGATGGCAGCGCCTGCTTCAGATGAGGTCAGGGTCTAGCCTACCGCTGACCATCGAGTTATTATGCTCGATATTTGCTATCCCGGAGAATGAGTCATGACAGATGACTCATACCCTGATCACTGCAGACACTACATTTGCCTACACTCTTGCGGGCCAGTCATTTCAGTTGACGGTGAGAGAGATGGCTGTTCGTCTCGGGCTCTACACCCAGGAGGAGACCGAGCAGCTCGAGTTCTATGACGCACCCTTCCGTGTTCCCACAGACTTTGACCATAAGGCTTTCTGGAGGGAGCATTCATTTGACGAGCAGGAGTTCGTGAACAAGAAGAGCAAGGCTTGATTCAGGATTCGGCCCAGCTGGAGGATCCTATCTTTTGTTCTTTCGACATCCTTCTTTGGGAGGCCGTCGAACACAGATAGGGTCTACGAGGAGGATATGTTTTTCTTCTGGAGCTTGCACGACCGCCAGCTGGCGAACGTGGCGGTGTACCTGGCCAGAATCTTATACTCCCAGTCCTACAGGTGTAGGACACACTTGGTGTGTGGGTTTGTGATTACACTGCTCTTTCGCTCCCTCATGGGGAATGCACCGATCCCACGAACCGTGTAGTTGATGAGGGATTTAGATGCCGGCATGCTCCGGAATGCTCACATCCACCGAAGACTCTTTTATAGCTCTTCTGAGAGCACTACAGCTTCTATTGGCCGCACTTCACATGAGATGGGAGAGTCTTCCGGTCAGTCACAGAGACCGTCTCAGCGCCTTCCTCGTCGACGACCCACTAGAGCTCAGTTGGCTCGCGTTCAGACGGAGGTAGCACCGGCATGGGCCCAGCAGCTCTTGGAGAACCAGAACACACTTCTGCGGTCCGTCGCGACACTCCCGCAGCAGGTGCAGGGTCTTGACAGGATGCGTGCGGCGTTGGGTTTTGAAAACTCGACAAATCTCCCCCCATAGCAGCAGCCCCGAGACACCGATCCCTCCACCTCCCGGCCTCCGCAGTGATCTCCTACTTTCTCCAGAACTTTTTATCTTATTTGAGCTGGAATTGATGACTTGACTGATTTATTTGGATTCTTGTTTGACTTCTTCTGGTAAACTTTTATGGTTATGCTTATTTACTATTTCAATCATCATTTTGAATATTTTACATATGCAATCATCTTAGTCATCATATCCTTGATATTTCAACCAAAAATTCTACTCCGAAACACTTTTTTTGCCGCGAGGGCGCGGTTTCGTTCAAGTGTGAGGAGGATGTGAATTATTGGTTGAAATATACCGGGTTAGAATTGTTTGCTTTGCATATTTGTGGGTAAAGATTTTATAAGTATGGTCATCAACTCTTTTTTTTAAATAATCAAGTTTTGTTGAACAATTTACGCACCTCTAGAGGAGGGGTGAATAGAGGTGTTCTTCAAAAATCAAAACTTTTGGAAGATTAAACAAAAAATTCGCAGGATTATGCGAACCACAAGAAGACAAAGAAGAAGAGAAGGAACAACACACGATGTATACTGGTTCGGCCTAAATGCCTACATCCAGTCCCCGAAGCAATCATGCCCAAGCCTTCACTAACCCGTCAAACTTAACGGAGTTTGACAATCCGAATACAACTCGAGAACTTGATTTCACAAGCCTCTTATCTTACCCTTGAAGTTTTGATTTCACAAAACTCAGGATTTCTTCCACCTAACATTTGATTTCACAAACCGTTAGGATTTCTACTACTTGGTGTAATCCCAACACCAAGAATACAAATCCCTTACAATAAAGTAAGAAAACAAACCGCAACCGAGTAATTCTCCCAATACGGAGTAGATTGTTGCAAATACAATGAAGTCCTTTAGAATATGGCAATATCTCTCAAAGACTCAAGCAGTGAGGAAAAACTCAAGCAAGAAATGATTTAGCAATCAAAACAATTGCCTTGCTTGGATATAAGGAGGGGATTGAGTAGAATCTCTTTGGATATTCAAAGGATTTGTTCTTCAAAGTGTTCTAAGTGTTCTCTTCAAGATAATCTCGAAGAGGGTTGTTTATAGAAGTTAGGGAGTGGATAGAGATGAAAAGAATTCAAAAAACTAGCCGTTTGGTAGTTGAAACTGTCGACTTATTCGAATAACTCAAGAACTATTCGAATAGTTTGGATCAATCGCGTGGCTTGAAAAACCAGTTCCTATTCGAATAAATGGTGATTTATTCGCATAAATCAGGGTGAAAAGCCAGGACTTATTCGAATAAATGGTGATGTATTCGAATAAAATAGGTTAATTTCAGTCACAGGAAAGATCACGACTTATTCGA